AAATCAATTAAAAATAAATTTTCTACCCTCTCGTCGTATTTTTTTTTTTTAATTTGGCGAAACAAACTAACGTCAGTCAATCATTCACGTCAAGGTTATGTCGCCAAAAATAATGATACAAAATGGTAACCGCAACGATGAAAAACTTGTAACTAGAAAAAAAAAAAAAATGTTGACGATGAAAAATATTTGAACAAAAAAAAAAATTATAATTTTTCTTTTAAAAAAATAAGAAGAAGAAGATGACATTTGAATGACAGTTTTTTTTATTTTCTCAAAAGAAAATTTTTTTTTTCGTACGAAAGAAAAAGGAAAAAAAAACAATAAGGAACGGAAAAACCTTAAAAAAAGAAAACAAATTTCATTTTTTAACATTTATATTGATGGCTTAAGAACATGTAAAAAAAAAAGGTGACTGTTTGTCGAAACCCTTTTTTATTATTATCATTATTATTATTATTATTATTATTATTATTATTATTATTATTATTATTATTATTATTATTATTATTATTATTATTATTATTTAAAGAGGAATTTTAAATGTCATTCAAATTATTTTAAAACTAAAATTTTAAATATTAAGTAATAATAATAATAATAATAATAAATAAGTTATTTAAAGTTTTCAAATTTCATTTTATGATTTTTCCTTTTTCTTGTTGTTGTTGTTGTTATTATTATTATTATTGTTATTATTATTATTATTTGTTTTAAATTATCATTATTTTCATTGAAGTTATTAAGTCCCTGTAGTAACATGATATCGAATGAAAACCCTTCAAAAAAAAAAAATTTTTTTTTTGTTGTTGTTGTTAATCTCCTTATCAAAATTTTTGTCAATCGTTTCCGGTTTTGACTCCCCAAAAAATCTTTTTTTTTTTTGTTTGGGAATTCGATTGTCGTAAATAAATTTAAATTTTTTTTTTAAGGTATTATCGATAAAAAAAAATTTATTTAACAAAACAAACAAACAAACAAACAAGATGTCCGTCAATTAAATTTATTTCGATAATAAAAAAAAAATTTTTTTTTATTTTAATCCGGATTATGAATTTCGTGCGTGAATTACGAAAAAAAAACCAACCGTACTACGAAGTGATTAACATTACCAATAATAATAATAATAATAATAATGATGATAATAATCGTTATTTACATACACCCAACGTTTTAACTACAAAAAAAATAAATAATAATAATAATAAATTTTTCTCTTTTCTTTTTTCTTTTTTTTGGAGATGTCGAGAGCATGTGTCGTTTGTTAATTAATTTTTTTTTAAATGATGATATTCCATTGATTCCATTCATTCCATTGATTTTTTTTTTGTTAGTTAATTCCATTGAATTTATTTGATATAAAAAAAAAATTTCTTTTCGTGTTTTTTTGTTTGTTTATTAATTTAATTGTAAAGGAAAATTTCTTTTTTTTTTTTTAATTTTTTCTTTTCTTTTTGATACTTTGTATTTATTAATAATAATAATAATAATTTTTCGTAATTATTTAATGCCGTTTCCGTATTTCGATAAAATAAATTTTATTTATTTATTTTATTCATGTTCATCGGTTTTAGTAATTTTCCATTTTTCACCATTTGGATATTCGTATAGGGAAAAAACGTGATCGTGTAATTTTGTGCTGTAGCCAGGTGTCTGAAAAACGTAATTAAAAATTTAATTTCTGTTGTTTTTTTTCGGGGGGGGGAGGGGAGTACGGGAGGAAGTGAGAGAGAGAAAAAAAATTTTTTTGTTCTTATTTACGTTGGGTATTTTATATTTTCCATTTACAACAACGACAGGATTTTCAAATTGTTCGTGTTGTTGATCGACATATTCAATCATTCTATCATTCGTCGTACCCGACAAACAAATATAATCGAATATTTGTAAATGTTGAACCATTTCGCAAAGTCCTACTCCTCCCGCATGCGGACAAACGGGAACTGTTGAAACAAATTTTAAAAGAATTAAATAAAATCGCAAAAAAAAAGAATTTTCGTCTTATTTGATTTACCTCTGAATTTTTTAGCCATGAAATAAACAGAAAGTAATTCGTTGACACCTCCGAGACGCGCGGAATCAATTTGACAAATTTGAAATGCGTTCGATTGAAAAAATTGTTTAAACATTACACGATTTGAACACATTTCTCCTGAAGCAACTTTTACGCCGTGACAATTTAAATTCTATTAAAAAAAAAAATCAAATGAAAGAATTTGTTAATAATGTCGTTAATTAAAATAAAATAATAATAATAAAAATAATAACTTTTGATATAACGGAATTTCCTAAAATGTCGTCCGGTGACGTAGGTTCTTCGATCCAATATGGCCGATACGTTAATAGTTGTTTCATCCATTCAATAGCTTCGTTAATTTCCCATTTTTGATTAGCATCAAGTAACTTTAGACAGACAAAACAAAAAAAAAAAAACTTTTAAATATTTTTCGTTAAAAATGATATCTTTGAGAATAAAATAATAAAAAAAACTTATTAAATAAACTGTCAAAGTAAAAAAAAAAGTTTTTTTTAAAATTAAAATTAACTTTAACGGTTTGTGTGTGTGTGTAATTATTATTATTATTATTATTAATAATTGTGACGCAATTAAAAATTGATTGATAAAATCTTTACCATTAAATTATTTGATCCGATTATTTTACGAACGAGTTGACATCTTTTTTTATCATCTTCTAAACTTTGTCCAACTTTTATTTTAAAAGCAGTAAATCCTTTATCCAGATAATCTTTACAAAGAGTTTCAATCTTGGATAAAGGATATCCTATCCATCCGATTTGAGTCGTGTAAGCTGGATATCCATCCTCTTTTATCTTTTTTTCTCTCGTTTCCCTAACGTCTATCGACGAGTCTCTTAAATAATTTATACATTCTTCTGGAGTTATAACGTCCGTTCTAAATCAAATCCATGTAAATAAAAAATTAATTTTTATATATAATTATGATAATATTAATAATAATACATATATAAAAAGGAAATAGAATAAGAAAAAAAAATTTAACATGTAACGGAAATCGATTGTAGATACTAATATTTCCGGTTTTAAATCGCACAATAATTTCCAAAGGGGTTTTCTTTCAAGTCTCGACCACAAATCCCATAATGCATTTATTATAGCCGATGTTGCCAAATGTATGACACCTTTTTCGGGACCCAACCTAAAAAAAACTTTTCAAATGAGAAATTTCATAGAAACAAAAGGGGGAGTAGGAATAGAGAATAAAAATAAAAAAATTTTTTTTACCATCTTAATTGTGATTCGGATGTTATGGATCTCCAGGTATTTGAAAAATTATTAAAAATTTCATGAGCGTTTTTATTTAATATTAAATGCGATAGAGAACGTACGGCGTGAACCACAATTTCAGTACCTTTTCCTAATGTAAATGTTAGCCCGTAACCTTTCCTTCCGTTTTTTGTCTCGATAATAACGTATGCGCACGAATAATCTGGATCTGTGTGCTGAATAAAATTATATATATTTTAGTTTTTAACAGGAAATTAACTTTTTTCTTTTTTTTTCGGACGACGTAACGACGCTTCGATACTTAAATAAGCGATGTAATATTAATAATAATAATAATAATAATTTTTTTTTACGTCGAAACGCCTTAAATTTTAACCGCGTTAACGTTTTCGTACAAAGTAAACAAATTTTTTTAAAAAATTTTATTTTGATATTTTATTTACCATCATCATCATCATCATTATTATTATTATAAATAAAAAGGTTTATTTATAAATAAATAAATTTACCATGGCGTCAGATCCGTGAAATTCTTTCGATGTTGGAAATCTGACATCTTTAACATCGATCGAAACAATCGTCAAACCCTCGTCGTTGTACATTTTTTTTTTTTTTTTAACGTTCACAGTAAACAAGTTTGATAATGACTGACTGACTAAATTATCATCATTTCAACCTTGAACTTGTTTCTTTTTTTATGCCTAAGTTTATCATTATTATTATTATTATTCAAAATAAAACCTGAAAATTTAATATAAAAAAAAAACGAACCAACCATTTGATGATTTATTTACATATCGTGTGACGAAAATACCGTTTGTTCGTTAATTCATTCATTCATTCATTCGTTAATTATCGTTTATTATTTAAAATTATAATAATTAAAACATTTAATATATACGTTATAAAATAAGGAGAGAGAAAGAAAGACATAGAGAGAGTGGGGGAGAGAGAAAGAATGAAAAAGAGACATAGAAAAAAAAAAAATTTACGTTCGTTTTTCAATAGAGAGAGAGAGAGAAAAAAAAAGAAGAAAAGTGAAAATTCAAATGAAAACATAAATTATATTAAAAATTGTATAAAAGAGAGAGAAAGAGGGGGGAGAGAGAGAGAGAGAGGATAACAAAAAAAAAAAAGTTTAATTCCAAATCATTGATTTCACGAGGATTTAAATTCTGATAGCGTTGCAAATATAAATGAATAAAAACGTCCTTTTCGACTACTTTTCACTATACCTTTTTTTTCCTTTTTTTTCCTTTTTTTTCCTTTTTTTTTATCCAGTCGATAGTTCATTATTATTATTTTTTTTTTAAATTTATTACCGAAAATAACAAACGATAACGTGTAAAAAAAAAAAAAAAAAATGAGTCGAAAATATCAACGAACAAACAACAACAACGCGTGTTCGACAAAAAAAACACACAAAGATAATCCCGGGGGGAGGGCAGAGGGAAGAGGGAAGGAAGGAAGATGAGATAGGAAGGGGAGACGGGAAATTTTTTTGTTTTCTTTATATATGTGTAAGTACGTATAAGTACAATTCATTTTTAAGTGAGAGGAACAAAAAAAAAAAAAGTAAATAAAATAAAGAAAAACGTGTTTAAGTTATTTTTAATAATAATAATAATAATAATTAAAATTTTTTTTTTTTTTTAAATCGTCTTCTGGTAAAAAAAAAAAGGTCGTTAAAAATGTCGGTTTATATGAAAAAAAGGAGAGAGAGAGA